AGAATTTTTGAAATGCAATATGTCACATATCCTCATTTGGTGTATGAATTTTTTAGCTCATTTGCGTACACAAAAGATGTGGATGATCATGCAAATGACACAATCACTTTTCGTTTACTAAATGAGAATCGTTCATTAACCAAAAGGGAATTTGCTCAACATTTTGGCCTCCCATTGTTTGATGAAGCACGTACATATGATTCTCTTGTGGGATATGAGTTATGGAAGAGAATGACAGGAAAACCTGTGGTGGATCTTTCTAAACTGAGCGTGAACCATGTGCAACATCCGGTCTTCCGACTATTCTTAAAATTTTGCTCAAATTGTTTCCTCGGAAGACCAAATAATCATCACACACGGATTTGGGATGTGTGCGTTCTAGCACAAGCTGTTTTGCCTGGCCCGGATCAAGTTGATGTTGCCACCATCTTATGGACCCATTTCTACAACGTGGCAACATCAACAGGACCAATTGTGATGGGGGGCCTCATCACACATATAGCCACCTTATACGGTTTTGTAGACCACGGCCCCATCACCTCAAGACAACTTATTTGCACTGAATGGCTTGTAACAAAGACCCTAGACTTGGTCCCCTCTCACACGACACCAACCGGGGCACACATCTATAATTGGCGCATCCTCCCACGCACTTCCATCTACCTCCAAATACCCTCGGCCGACGTCCCCCTAAATATCCTTGATCACCAAATCGGGGATGGTCATCACTATTGTCTTCCCGGGGCAATCCCGGATCATTATGAAGAACCCATCCAAAATGAAGATGATGAAGAACCCCCAATCATACCCGAACAACCCCCACTAATGCCTGAACAACCACAACCTCAAGCTTTTCACTACACACCTTTCGAGCAACAAATGCTCGATAACATGGCCATGCTCAACAACAACTACACCCAACTTCGGGATGAAGTTGGATTATATCGTACTGAGCACAGACAAAGCTTTGAGAGGATGGAGGAGCAGCGGCAGGCAGACTGGCGTAGATATGAGGAAGACCGGCGGAGAGATGAGGAGGACCTACGGAGGACCTATGGTCCTATTTATTCCTATGTGGCACATCAGGGTGGATTTGCATCTATGGCCACTCCTCCTCCCGCACCCTCTTGGTATGATCCCACTGCATGGGGTTATTTTGGAGGTTCGAGTTCCGGTGGTGGAGGCGATGGTGGTGGTTATAGCGGGGATCACATGGATGAGGACAGACACCATGGTGGAGGCATGGGCGGGCACTAGGGACAGTGCAATGAACTGGCTGGGGGGAGACTGTTCTGGTAAGCTTACATTCACACTCTTTACTTTTATTCAAAAAAAAAAGGGCTTGTTAAGTTGAAAACCCACAAAGGGCAACTTAGGCAAAAATAAGCAAAAATAAGAGTGAGTTTGTGAGGATTAAAATAGGAAAATGTGGGAAGCTGGGATGAAAACCCGAAAGGGCACCTAGGCAAAAATGAGAGAATGAGAGAAACTATTTCTTTTGACTTTGCAGGATCTTAAGGGTGATGATGAAAGGGAGTTCGTTGGTGAGAGAACCGATTTTGAAGACCCCTTGATGTTGGGGATATTTTTTGTAATCATTCTGCTTCTAGATACACATTATGGTGGTTGTTTTGATACTTTTGTTTTGAAGACTTCATGGACATGATTTGTTTTACTCGAGACGAGTAAAAATTCAAGTGTGGGGGTATTTGATATGCACTAGTTAATAGTGCATAAATGTGTGTTTTTATATCTTGTTTTGTGTGGATTGTTTACCAGTTGTGTGTAGTTGTAAACATTTGTTTCCTTTTATTTATAAGTATTTTTAGCTTTTATTTGTGAGTTAGGAAGTTTTGGTAGAATTATTGGCAAGGAAAAGGAAGAAAAACAAGGAGAATGCTGCCCAGGAGTGTAAACCCGACCGGGTAGAAACCTTCACCCGGTCGGGCTTGAATTAACAATTGCGATCTCCAGGAAACTGCTTAGCCCGGTCGGGCCCTATACCTCACCCGGTCGGGTGAGACTTGACCGAAGACAACCCGACGTGCTGAAGAACACTAGAACGTGGGAAATATTTGATTCGGACCGGTACCCGGTCGGGTAGATACTCTACCCGGTCGGGTACCCGTCCAAAGGTGTTGAAAAACACCTATAAATAGCACACTTTTCCTTCACTAAAAGATATCCCTTCTTCCATACTCTTAAGCTCAGTTTAGAATAATATTTCTTTTATATTTTTATAGCATGTTTAGTCTCCAAATGAGGAGCTAAACTCTTCCATCTTGGTTTTGCTCCTTTGAAGCTTAATGAATTTGTAAGTTGTGAGTTATTATCTTTAATCTTCTTCCTTGAATATTAATTCTTTCTTTAAATACTATTTCTATATCAATGTTGGGGAGTGTTACTAAGATGACAATTAGTTAACATCTTGACATTAGTTATAGTAATAGTTATTTCTTCCTCTACGTTAATATCGGGGAGTGTTACTAAGATGACAATTAGTTAACATCTTGACATTAACTATAGTAGGATTCATCTTCTTTAATATTCTTTCTTGAGTATTAATTAATTCCTATTCATATTTCATATTAATATTTTGAACATTACTTAAAGGATCAACTAGTTTTGTTTCATATATTAATTATTACTAGAATCAATCGGTTAATACGCTTGTTATTAATTCGGTTCTTTCAATGGTAGTAAACTTGGATTGTTAATGCATACTTCTCATGATTAATAAGCCAAGGGGAATTAATTATATTGATTAAACCAATAAACCGCTTGTGTTGAGGTTATCAATCTCAATCGTTTTCATCTTGATTTTATTGCTACTATCAAGTGAATATACGGCGCTTGTTCTATATTGACTCGGTAGTAAATTTTAGGGATATTTTGACTTTGCACCCCACTTTTTGGGTGATATTGGATTTTGCACCCCATTTTCAAAACTCTTAGACTTTGCACCCTATTTCCCCTAAAATATCTTTGCCTTGCACCCCATTCAGGATTTTTTCTTCACAAAATGTTGTCGATAGGGTGCAAAGTCTAAAAGTTTTGAAAATGGGGTGCAAAGTCCAATATCGACCAAAAAGTGGGGTGCAAACTCAAAATTCCCCTAAATTTTATTAATGAACGCGTCTCGTTATTAATAACTACCCTCGATGAACTGGATATACTCCTCGATTGAGTATTCGAGAGGAAGATAGTTAAAGATATAACCGGGATCGACGAACATTTCATTAAGTGGATAAAAGCAAAGCCAAGTCTTCTTCTCATTAATTAAACCACATAACTCGTTCATCTTCGTGTTTAATTTATTAAACCAAATCAAACTAAAGCCCCCCATTTTGTTACTAGTTCTATAAAAAAGAAAAGTATTCCTTTCCCTGTGGATACGAACCTTACTACGCTATACTACGTATAAGTGTTGTATTGTATTATTATTTTGAGTGCACCTCACGACAAGTGCACGTCATAGACCATATGAGTAATTTCCACATGTTTTTTACGTAAAACTGTTCTCTTTACTGATTACTTTTTCGGCCCCAAGTAGTTATCTTAGTTCGAGCACAAAATTTTAAAAATAAAAAATAGACGGTTTAGGGCGCAAGAAATTATGAGCAAAAAATTGTTAAGAAAAAATGTAAGAAATTTCATTCATAGACAAAGCAGTCATTTTCCCAAACTTTACTGATTCTTCTACTACATGATAGAGTCATAGATTTGAAACGGTTTCTAGAAGGACTGCAATGCAAATACTTTAAAATTAGATTTAAATTAGTCGCCGTGTTTATTTGGGAACAATACTAGTATTGTTCCATTGCATACCCTGAAAATGGGTAGATGCACCGTAGAAAGGGTGACAATTCTGTTTTTTTTTTTAAATGGGATACCGTACCTATCATTCATTTGATTGAATCACATTACTTTATAATTTTTAATTTAGATTTAAATAATTCAACTGCTACATTCTCTTTGATCCATGTGGACAAAGGTATGGTATCTTATGGTACCGTAGAATCTATCCGTAGAATTGAAAGACCCAAATAACTATCCACTGTTTTGTAGATAGTGGAAGAATACAAATTTTTGACGATGGTCCGCATATGCTGGCCGAAAATTTCTAAACGAGGGGCACAAGCTGCACAACGAAGCAGAAAAGTAGAGGTAATAATCGGAAGGGCACAAAGATGAAAAGTGAAAACGCCCATCCTGAACGTTGCATAATTCAACTTTTAGAAATGGTGAGTAAAAACGTTTTGAAATTCTAAAATTGGATTTTCATGTTTTTATTTCCTAAATAGGAGTAATTCTGCCAAGTTTGAAAAAAAGTACTCCGTATGATGTTGAAACCTAACAATGTCAAACTTGATAGAAACTTACTCTTAGAGTGGTCTTCACGTCAGGCCGGCCTGACGGGCTGCTCCATCCGGCCGAGCCCGTTTGGGCACCTTCACGGTGGAATTTTGTGATGAAATTGTTTGAGCATGTTCCTCATCAAGTCTAGTTTGTCCATACCAAATTTAAGCTCAAAATTCGATCGGGAAGGCATTCAAATCATTTTTTGAAGTTGACTGCGTCAAAATATACATATAAAACTGCAGTCAACTTCAAAAAATGATTTGAATGCCTTCCCGATCGAATTTTGAGCTTAAATTTGGTATGGACAAACTAGACTTGACGAGGAACATGCTCAAAAAATTTCATCAAAAAATTCCACCGGGAAGTGCCCGAAATACCCTCGGCCGGACGGAGCATCCCGTGAGGCCGGCCTGACATGAAGATTAGTCCTTACTCTTATTCACAGAATAAAAAACATGATAATCCTATTTTGGAATTTCAAAACTTTTTACTCCTGTTTAGAGAATTCTCTTTTTGTTTTAATAAGCCAAGCAAACCATCCATTTACTAAACATCAAATTTGGTTGTTTGCATAGTCAGAATCATTAATTATGATCAAAACAAAGGTACGTAAGAATGTAAGATAGAACTAAGACATACGGGGTAATAGAAATCGTTCATTATTTCTTATTCTTTCATATCATCAATACTCGTATCATATATAGTTTAAATACATAAATTGTAACACAGAATTATATTATACGGGTAAAGAGAAGGTATACATCAAGGTTCGTTGAGGGAACGAGGCATCAACTAGGGCATGCATGCATTTAGCTAGCTAGGTTTAATTATTGGCCGGAGGTGAAGTAGCGCCACGGGGAGGAACGTCGTGACCCTGGCCGGGACTTGGCCCTGGGTGACTTTCACTGAAGACTTTATAGTTAGAGGACAGCGACGACGGCAGCTCATCGGCGGAGGCAGCTGGGGGAGGAATTCTGTGACCAGCGCCGGGACTTGGGTGACTTTCACTGAAGACTTTATAGTTTGAGGAGAGCGACTGCCCCCTAATTCCCTCACTGCTCTGAACACCAAAACAGAAAAGAAATGCCAAAATGAGAACGCCGCCACATGATGCGGCGGTCAACGTGAGCTTATTCATCGGAGCCATCTAATTAATTGCTTAAATATAAATGTGTTTAATTTATTTGCTCTTAACTTACTTACATAATAAAATAACTTATGGGTGTAAGTATTTATAGCAGCGAAGTGAGCTAACTATGATTAAGGAAGTTATTCAGCTTACTGTTTACACGACTCACATAAAATTAATGTATCCCCTCACCCACTTATCAACTATTCAACTAGTCAACCCATCTTGAATAAACAAATTAAATTAACAAAAACATATTAACTCTAATGACAAACAATTATTAAACAATATGTAGTACTACCTCCGTTTCTTAAATAAATGCAACATATGAAAATTTACACTATTCACATGTTCTACTTTAATTACGTTTTATTTAATAATGTATTAATATTTTTTATGAAAAAAATATTGTTAAACTTGTCTCATGGTAAATTTTCAAAATTTATTTTTTATAATTTTTTTACTAATACAAAATTATATATATTGATGGTCAAAGTTGTATCTCGACAAGTGTGAAATGTTGACCGTTGCATTTATTTAAGAACGGAAGAAGTATAAAAGTTGATAGGATCAAATTTATATGTAGTAAGCGGTCAAATGTATTTGTGTGCGTGATAGGATCAAGTTTTATTAACAAAAAAGAAAATGTGTCAAATAAGCCATTTTACTATTACGAAACCTGCTATAATAAGTCATCCACATTTTCTTTTCCTTTTTTGCTTTTTCTTCAACTTTTTTGCAGGCCGTTTTTTCTCCTACCAATTCCCACTATACCCAAAGACTTGAAGCTCATTTTCTCATTGTTCTTTCGTTATCTTGTTGTCTCTTTCAACTTTGTTTTCTCGTAATTTTTTGCCTCCGTTGTTCTCTTAGTTCCGCATTTCCTTTTTCTTTTGAGTTTTTTACAAGAATATTACTAAAATAAAATTTATTTACATAAATATAATTATTCATTACTATAAGGTGATGTTGTAGTAACTTAAGTTCAAAACTTGAACATGAATTACTATGATTTCAGTACTACTCAAGTAACTAATCATATTTTTGTAAACTATCTTTATTTTGGTCATATTCATGTAATTATTTCTTTTCTTTTTTCTTTGCATTTTTTCTTTTTCTTTTTTACTTTTTTTCTTCCTTTCTTCTTAGGTTATTTTTAATTTACAATTTTCAGTCTCATACGAGACCACACCCGACTTAAACATATCAGATTAGATCATATTTAACCAGATCATGTCATATTTAGATAATAATAAAATACACATTTAACAAATGTATACTAGATCAGACCCAGACATGACTTAAACAGACTGGTCAAGTCAAGACTTACACAGACCAAATCACATCATCAGGATTTTTTAGTTCAATCAAAAACATCCGTTACCTCTCTTTTTGTTGCATCACGTGTCACTCTGAAAGTACAATTGTATAATTTTTGTACACGTTTTCAAAAATTTTCACTGTCAATTTTTTTATAAAGTGAGGCAATCGAATGTCTAATATTGGGGGGATCCAGGCATGGCCATAAAATTGTGTAATTAGAACCGATTTCGATAAAATTTCTTACAGGAAAACTTTTTTGTTAAATTATGTCACAGAAAAAAAAAATCAGGAGTTCATGTTTACAGACATTAAATGTCAATCCCAAGAACAGACTTAAATGTTTAAGACGGTAAAAAATGTAATTTTTTGTACACATTTTCAAAATCTTTTGTACGTTCCGACAACTTTAGTTAGATGAGTTAGGAACAAACAAAAAATAATCAGTCTGAAAAATCCATGAAAAATAGTACTATCTCTGTCCCCCTAAGTTTGGGACAAGAGAAAGTGGCACGGTTATTAATAAAAGTGTGTTTATGTGGTTGATATTGAATTGATAAAGTAAAAATAAAGTAGGAATGATTTAGAACCACACAAACTTTACCAAATAAGGTATGAGACAATCTTAGTGAGACGGACCGAAAAGGTAAAATGAGACAATCATAGCGGGACGGAGGGAGTAATAGATGCCACAAAAAGTGTACAAATTTTTAGCTGCGTTCGAAAAGTTTTTTTTATTATGCTAGACATTTATTGTCTAGAAGACGATTTTTTTTAACGATTGTCTAGATGATTATTTCAATTAAGATTTTATCTACGGTATAACTTTAGATACAAAAAATGTAGGTGTGGAAGATTTGAAAATTTGTACGAAATAGTATAATTTTGTTTTACTGTTTCTAAAAATGTCAATGTTATATAAATAAACAGTGTTACTTCAACTTTAATGACGATGACTACCTTTTAACATGGATAATAACTGAAAGATTTAAAGTGTGATTTTTCTAACAATAAATGAATCTTTAATAATAATTCATATTTTTACTTTTTCGAGAATGAGATTATTTATGAGCCAAAGATGATATTTTATTGACATAATTAGAAAAAATGCCAATTTTTTGGGGGAGAAAGACAACAAATAGAAAAGGAAAAAAATTAAAGGGTAAAAAAGAAAAAAAGAAAACGCTAGAACGATATGGATTAGAGTAGAGGAAAATGAAAAAAAGGTCAAAACTGACTCTAACCTATTATAGCAAGTTGCTTCCCAGTGGGTGGACTTGGACACTTGGTTGATCGTTTCTTAATAGTTGATGTACTCATGTGATGCTTTTTTTTAGTAAGTGGGCTCAGATGATACTTTTATTATACCACATGAGTTTATTTGACTCTTTTTCCTAAAAAAAATTAGCGTATGTGCAATTTAGATACTAGGTAATTAAATCACATTATTACGATATTATTAAGGACTAGTGTTGGGTGCATGATACTGTTATATATACTTGTATACTCCGTATATGAGTGCAAAGTCCCCCTCAAGATTTATTGTGGTATATGACCAGTTGACACGTTATCACGCTGACACGCTCCTATCTAAATTAATCGAGTTAATTACCTAAATAAATCAAAAAGTACTCCAAGAGCACAAATATGAGTATATGTTTTTAATCCCCCAGTAGAACTATTTATGTATGTTTGGACATCAAATATACCCTTGTAGCTTTTGAAATGTCTTAATAATAATAAAATCATAAAAAAATTATAAAAAACTTCAAAAATATTAATTTTTTAAAAATATTTATAAAATAAAATAAAAAGTAAAAAATTTAAAAAAAAATAAAACGTAAAAAAACAAAAAACGTTGCTGCCTCTGCCACCTCCTGCTGCCATCCCCTATTTGAAATCTGTAAACATTTTTAGTAATGCCATAACAATGACAGATTCAATGAGAATTTTGGCATTATGAAGAGTAATAATGTCATTTTCTTGGCATTTTCTGGAAAAAATGGCATTTTTTACAAAAAATGAAAAAAATTTCACCGATCGGATGTGGTGGTGCTGGGAGGCGCGGTGGGAAAGGTGTCCGTATTTTTAAAATTGTTTTTATGAGTTTTTACTATTTTTTATTAATTTAAAAAATTAATTTTTTATTTTATAAATATTTATTATTTTGTTTTTTATTTTTCTACGGTTTTTAATATTTTGTACGATTTAATATTATTTTTTGAGATTATATTATGAATTAAAACATTTTGTTAAGAAGTAATACCCCTAGGGGCATTTCTGGTAGGAATCAATGTTTAGTCCTATTTGGGAGAGTTGAAAAGATAGTAGTTCTATTTGTGCATTTTAGGAAATTTTAAGTTAATTACAATAAAACTTTTTAATGTTAGAAGTGAATAAGTCCTACTTTCAATTTGCCGCAGCTTTTGTCTGCATTTAGGCTTGGGGCCGGCGATTGTGCAAATCGCTCGGCGTTTCTTTTTAGTTACGTTGCAGGAGTTGGGCGAGCAGGTTTTCTCCAAGAACGTAGGGGTTTCACGCAGGGTTGCGGAGCTCTAGTTTTGGGAGTTTGTTTGCTCGACGTTGGTTGATTTCGCAAGAGCAGACGACGTACGGACGAAGGGCATTAAGGGTGACGATGGATATGAACGCATACGGAGAAATTGACAAATTGGCAAACGCGTACGGCCGATTAGATATGGAGGAAGAGGATGAATTTCTACATGTGGAGGCTAAGGCTTCAGGGATCGAGGAGGAAGGTTTGACCTTCGTAGGGACAATTACCTCTGAAAAGTTAGTACGTTTCTCTTTCTTTAATGATACTATGGCTAATGTGTGGAAACCTGTTAGAGGTGTTACTATAACTGAGATAGGTGCACACAGATATATGTTTCAGTTTTACAGTGAGAGGGATATGACACGTGTTTTGGCAGAAGGACCATGGACTTTTGGCCAGAATCTCATTGTTCTTGCTAAGTTAAAGGAAATCTGACTTTGAAGGTTCCGCTGAATAAGGCTGGCTTCTGGCTACAGGTTCATGATGTACCAATGGGATTTTTTGTGTGGCCAATGCTATAAAAATTGGGATTTTTTTGGGAAGTTTTATCAAGGTGGATGAGTGTAATTTCTCTGTTGAATGGAACCCTTACATGAGGTTAAGGGTTAGTATGGATTTAAATAGGCCTCTGAAAATTAAGGAAACTGATTTTTAATCGGATGAAGCGGAAAACTTTTGTGTAAAATTTAGGTATGAAAATTGCCTAGTTTTTGTTTTGCATGCAAAATTAGCGGTCATGCAGAAAGGTTTTGCCCGCATTATCCCGATGGAAAGGGCAGGAGTGGAGGTTTTCTGTTTGGACCTGAGTTGAGAGTTCCTAAAGGTTACGTAGTTGTGGGGGGTAACAAATGGTTGGTCCCAGTTGGTAAAGGGAAGGGGAAAGAAGAAGTGGGAGGAACATGCATGGTAAGTTCGGAGGCACAAGAAAGGCCACAACGGGGGGGAGATCATGCTCGTACAGGAGATAAGGTGGAACAGAAGCGTAAGCGAGTGGATCAAGAGGAACATGAGGCTCACAGAAGGATATGGAAGTGGAGACGGACACATCAAAAAACTGGGAGGAGGCAGGCTGCAACGCCCGCCTTTCAGGCAAATAAAAGATGCATCGGAGGAAGCAGAAGGGATGGAAGCTTTCAAACTCCATCACCTGGATTTTTACTTTTTCTATTATTACGTACAATAAGGGTGTGGTTTT